ATACTCATATATAATAACAATGCCTGGTGGTGTCTCAAAAATATTGTTTTGCATACATCACTATTTATATTAATTATTTTTTCTTATTTTATTTAAGATTACTTCAAATATAAATGAATTATCAATATTATTTTTAAAGAATTGAAATCAATGATAACAATTGAATAAAATTAAGTTAAAAAAGGAAAGAAAATTGGAGATGGAAGCTTTGGATAAGTTTTTATAGGGGAAATTGAAGAAGGAAAATAAAAAGGTATATATGCGCTGAAAGAATAATTCAAAATTAGTGATCATGAAAAAATGATTTTAAAGGCTCTAAAAGATAAGCAATTTCAACATTTAATTAAAGTGATTGCTTTTGAAGAGTAAGAAGAAAGAATTTTCACTCTTATGGAACTAGGAGAAATTAATAATTTTTCAAACCTGTTAGATAAAAGAACCATTTGTTTGCAAGTAAAGTTATTTAATATTTAGATGGCAAAAGGTGTTTCTGAATTACATAAATTAGGATTTTTTCATCGAGATTTAAAACCCAATAATTTTGTAATTGGTCTTGATAATAAAATCAAATTGATAGATTTTGGAACCACTAAAACTATTTAGTATACATCTCATACCCAAAATGAAGGAACTTTATCATACATGGCACCAGAAGTAAGTATAACAGATGATTATGATTCCTCTGTTGACATATGGTCTTTGGGAATCATTTTTTATGAATTGTTAACAAATTCAACATTTTTCGAAAAAGGTAAATCTGAATATGAAGTATATAATGAAAGGGTTTAAATTTCGCAAAAATAAATTAATTTATAAATAGATGCACAAAAAAGTTTAGAGTAATGGCAAAAGGCATTGTTTAAAAAAATGATTGTTCAAAAGTTAGAAAATGATAATTTATTAAATCACTCTATAAAAAGAATACATATTGACGAAGTAATTAATGAGTTTGAGTAATCAAAAAACTTTTAATAAACTTAATAAAAAGTTTATTAGTAGAAAAATGATTTGGATAATGAGACTTAATCTTTAAATTCGAAATGGACAGATTTAAGAATAAATTAATTGCATCAATTAGAAATTCATAGTTAATGGATTTCATCATTATGCTTCTCTCCTGATGGTACTACATTGGCATCAGGTAGTGGAGATAACATAATCAATTTATGGGATGTTAAAACTGCAAAGGTAAAATCAAAATTAGAAGGTCACAGAGATTGGGTTACATCATTATGCTTCTCTCCGGATGGTACAACATTAGCATCAGGTAGTGGAGATAACACCATCCGTTTATGGGATGTTAAAACAGAAAAATTAAATTAAGAATTATCTGGCCATAGGTATGATGTAAATTCTGTTTGTTTTTCTCCTGATGGTTCTACATTAGCATCAGGTAGTGATGATAAGTCTATCAGTTTATGGGATGTTAAAACAGGAAAAGAAAAATATAAAATATAAGGTCATAGTGATGGAGTTCTATCAGTATGCTTCTCTCCTGATGGTACAACATTAGCATCTAGTAGTTATGACAAATCTATCCGTTTGTGGGATATTTAAACAGGATAATAAAAAGGCAAATTAGATGGTCATGAAGGAATTGTATATTCAGTGCGTTTCTCTCCTGATGGTTCTACATTAGCATCTGGTAGTGAAGATGAGTCTATTCGTTTGTGGGATGTTTAAAAATAATAAGAGATATAAAAATTAATAGGTTAGAATGGAATTATTTTCTGTTTATGCTTTTCTTCTGATGGTAGAATTTTAGTTTCTGGTGGTGAGAATAAGACGATAAATTTTTGGGATATTAAAAAAAAGTAATTAAAATAAAAAATAGATGCCCATTAAGGTATCGTATATGCTTTAAGCTTTTCTTTTGATAATGAAAAATTGGCGACTGGGAGTGATGATAAGTCTATTAATATATATAATGTTGAAAAAGGAGTCAAAAATTCATATACAAATCTTCATATTCAAGATAAAACTTAAAAATCGTTTTCTTCTGAATTTCTTAAATTAGCATCATGTAGTGATGATAAGATTATCGATTTAGAGGATATTAAGAAAAATAAAAAAGAATCTAAATTTTGTGGTTTTCCAAAGGACATCAATTCTATCTGCTTATGTAGTGATTGTATGAGAAATTTAATAAGCAGGAATTATAAGAAAATAAAAAAAAAATATAAATTAAATGCTTTAACAAAGAAAATCAATCCTATTTGCTTATGTGGTGATTGTATAACAAATTTAATAAGCAGGAATTATAAGAAAATAAAAAAATATAAATTAAATGCTTTAACAAAGAAAATCAATTCTATCTGCTTATGTGGTGATTATACAACATAATCCACAGGCAATAACATTTAATTATATTATTTATAAGATTTTACAACAGGAAAAAATCATATTTAGTTAACATTATTAATGGTTTCAAATCTTTATACTTCACTCCTGTTTTTTTATTTAAAGAATTTCATCTCAATCATAATTAATTAGACAATTAGTTAATTAACCAGAATTTGATTTATTCAACATTTATTAAATAAAGAGTAATTTAAATTTAAGAAAATTAAATATAGATTTAGTAATATTGAAGTTGATAATATTAAGAATATTATCAATTTAA